TGGGATGAAGGGGCTAGACATTAAAGCTCAAGACCCAGACAAGGTTGTGAATCTAATCAGAATCATGAACCTAATGGGAACTTCCCCACAAGGATGAGACACACCCCTCCAACCCCAAAGGGTTTTAGCTTTTGGATGAGGATGAACCAGAAGTACATAAAGTGTTATAAAACTGTAGTCAAATTAAGAATTGCCTACATCATCCAAAATCTTAAGCATTTAACTTGCTTTAAGGTGTTCCAGACTCCAGGAGGAATAAAAATGTAAATCCTCTCCATAGAAAAGTAACTTCATTGCATGCCTCAAATTACTTTTAAAATATTACATTTACTAACACACAGTTAACATATAAATAGGTAGTCATGTAAGGAAATGCCTAGAGAGCCAAGAACTAGTAGAAATAATGAAAAACCCCTTTAGATAGGTATTAGAGTTTTGTTTTCGGTGTTTAAACAATAGATGTGAGGTACCTGTAGGGAATGGAACACTATAAAAAGGGATGGAGCTAATTTGGGAAAACACTGAATACACATGTTGCAAGAATATATAAAAACTCTAAAGCTCTAAGTAGGTTTAATGGTAGGATAGAATACAGCCACTGGGGAAAATTTATAAATAAGGATAGAAATCAGGAGAAATTCTCCAGAGTGCAGCCTGGAAAGAAAAATTTGGAAAGATGAAAAGAAACAGACATCTACAGCAGGTAGTGAGAAATCATAACATGCTTAATTAGCTGCAGGGGACAGGAGAATAAGACACAACAAATTTTTTTTTTTTATATTTAATGTTTACTTTTGACTCTTGATTTCCACTCAGGTCATGATCATATGGTTTGTGAGTTGGAGCCCCACACTGGGCTCTGTGCTAACAATATGGAGCCTGATTGGGATTCTCTCTCTGCCCATCTCCCACTCATTTTTGCATTAGCACTCTCTCTCTAAAAATATCAAAATATGGGGACAAAGAAACTGAACACATTCTCTCAAAATAAGTGTGGTTTCATAAGCTCTCACTATGTCAGTTGTAGGGAGAGACAGCCAAGCTTTTGCATTTCCAAATCCACTGGGAATAAAAGGAAATACTCTGAATTATAAGTGATTTTAAAAGCTTAGTTCCCATCCTTTGCAATTTGAGAACTGAAAGGTAGAAGTACTCAAAGTTTATTCTCATAATAGTTGACTTAAAGACCAAGAGTCACAGTTAAAATACTCCTGGATATGTTCTATCATTATGAATCAGCCTTTCTAAAAGTTTCAGCTTTATTATCCCTAATATGCTCACTGTTCATCTATTATTAAATGGTGGCAACTGTGTAAAACTTAAAAAGGATTATTTTGTCTTGAAAGTGCTGTACTACATTGACCTTAACCTTGTCTATAATAGTAAAAATTGGTAGATTCTTATTCATAATCTCTATAAGGATACAGTATTTTTAAAATTGTTTTATGTCATGAAGAAACTAGACCCCTCCCCAAGGAAAACACACACATAAACACCATATATTTTTTACAAAAAAAAAAAAAAAACAAACAAAAAACCAAACCAAAACCCTAACTCCTAAGAGAAATCTGGAAAACAAACTAAAATTAAAATCTTACCAAAAATAAGATACTACCCTAAGCCACAATTGCTGCCTTACCTCACACTTAAAAAAAAAAAAATCTCAGGATGTTCAAATACCCCATCAAAAGTTATTTTCTTTAAAAGCAACAACACTTTGGCAGCCTTCAGACTCAAAATCATAAATGTTGCCAGGAGGATGAGCTTAGGTAAAAAGGTAAAAATCTGTAAGTTATTGAAGTATCTGTCTTATAAAAGAAGCCCTTCTCACCGTCAGAAAAACTTCTGGGGATCACAGCCAGGGTGATCATGAGAATCTTTAATATTCCTCTGTGACAATCTCTGTCTCTGTCACTCTTTCTCTCTGTACCTCGCCTGCTTACTCTCTCTCTCTCAAAATAAAAAAAACAAAAACAAAAAAATAATGTAAATCATTGTAATTCAGGGCTTAAATTAATCAAAGGGTTTTTAAGAATCGAGTATTTAATACCTTAGTTCTCTTTAGCAGCTTAACAATTTTTTTTTAATTTAACACATTTGACAGGCATTATTGCCACTTCATCCAGTTTGCTATGTTTACTTACAGTGTTAAACAGTTCATGAAAACGTATTCATGGGATTAAAAATGAACCTTAAGGGTCGCCTGGGTGGCTTAGTCGGTTAAGCGTCCGACTTTCGCTTACGTCATGATCTCGCGGTTCGTGGGTTCGAGCCCCGCGTCCGGCTCTGTGCTGACTGCCAGCTCAGAGCCTGGAGGCTGTTTCAGAGTCTGTGACTCCCTCTCTCTCTGACCCTCCCCTGCTCACGCGCTCTCTCTCTCTCTCCTAGAAATAAAAAAAAAAATTAAAAAATAAAAAAAAATGAACCTTGTACATCATTTAAGTTCTAAGGCCAGCTACACTCTTACCTAAGCATGAGTTATGTATACTGAATCAAAGGTCATGCTTCCATGATGACATCATCTTATTCTGCTTCTCAAATATGTACAGTGTCACCACTTCTACCCAGACTGGATTACTCAGAACTAATAATACACTATTTACTCCTGTTTATTTATATCATCAAAAGCATCTCTAAACTCTCAGATCAATGCCCATTTGTTACTTTCTAATCTCATAAGGTTCTATATATCTGCTATCCTTTCCTCAATGCACCATATACCCTTAACATGAAATCTTTCCTTTGTGCCAAAAAAAGCAATTAGATACATATTTGTTATAAAAATTCAGAGGCAGAGAAAATAGTATGATGATGCTTCATGTACCGATCCTATAACAAACCTCAGATTCAACAATATTCAAGATTTTCCACTTTTGCTTCGTCTATCCCTTTATTTCTTTGCTGGAGTGTCTTCAACCCAATCTCAGACATCATCATTTATGGCCTATTTCACCAATAGGCCATAAAAACCTTTAAACTGCAACTGATACCATCAAGAAAAGTGAAAAAAGCACCTACACAATGGGAGAAAATATTTGCAAATCACATATGTCAAGGGACTGTAGTCAGACTTTATAAGAAACTTTTATAATTCAACAACCCCCCCCCACAAACAAACACATTAAAATGAGCAAATGATTTGAATAAACATTTCTCCAAAGAAAATATATAGTCAATAAGCATTTGAAAATATGGTCAACATTATTAATCACCAGGGAAATCTAAGTCAAGACTAGAATGAGATAGTACTTCATTTTCCACTTGGATGGCTACAATTAAAAAATCAACAGATAATGGGGCGCCCGGGTGGCTTAGTCGGTTAAGCGTCCGACTTTCGCTCAGGTCATGATCTCGCGGTTCGTGGGTTCGAGCCCCGCGTCGGGCTCTGTGCTGACAGCCAGCTCAGAGCCTGGAGCCTGTTTCAGAGTCTGTGACTCCCTCTCTCTCTGACCCTCCCCTGCTCACGCTGTCTCTCTCTCTCTCTCTCTCTCCTAGAAATAAATAAAAATATTAAAAAAAAAATCAACAGGTAACAAGTATCGTTGAGAATGTAGACAAATTGGAACCCTCATACATTGCTGGAGGGAATGTAAAATGGAGTCTCTGCTTTGAAAACTGGCAGTTCCTCAAAAAGTTAAACAGAGTTACCGTAGGAACCAGTAATTCTACTCAAAGAGAAATACTTCCACATACTTCCTTTTTTGTTGTTTTTTAAAAACAGTTTATTGTCAAGTTGGTTTCCAAAAAACACCCAGTGCTCATCCCCGCAAGTGCCCTCCTCCATGCCCATCACCCCACATACTTCCACACAGAATCTATACATGAATGCTTATAGCAGCATTAGTCATTAAGTAGCCAGAAAGCAGAAAGACCACAAATGTCTGTTAACTGATGAATAGACAAATGTGGTGTATACAAACAGTGGAATTTCTCTCGGCCATGAAGAATAAAGTACTGATGCACCTTACAATACAGACCAAGCTTACAAACATGCTAAATGAAAGAAGCCAGTCACAAAAGATGTAACACTGCAGGATTCCATGTATGTGAAGTGGCCAGCATAAGCAAATCCAGAGACAAAAATAAGATTTATGGTGCAAAGGGTTGGGGAGGAAAGGGAAAGTGGCTGCTGTTCTTAAGTTGACTGTGGTGTGGTTGCAAAATTCTATGAATACTCTGACTTGAACACTTTAAACGTATAACATTTTTTTTATTATGAGGGAAATGCCAATCAAATACAAGTCAACCCATTATATATCTCAAAGGTCTTTTTTTTTAAAGACCACTGAAATTTAGTGTTTTCTGAAACTCTAGAAATCTTTTTGATTCAGCTAGAGAACATCCAGAAAATAGTGAAAGCCTGACTGAGGACAAACTGAAATAATTACAATCCAAGCGTGAAAAGACTAAAAGATAATTAAAATCGTGTTATGTGTCAGGTGACGTGTTATCTTAATTTCACAACTGACTGAGCTGTGTCCCAGTCACAGGACCAGAAAATGGCAGTGCTATGCTGCGGAGATCAGTTTGCCTCTGCCCCATGTTTTTCTACCTTCAGCAAGGCTGCGGAAAGTAAGAAGTTGAGGGCAAGGAAGGCAGTGGGTAAAGGGAATACAGCGCTCGGAGTGTTTCCAGAGTGAACACTGGTAGAGAGGAAGCGGGAGACAGAAAACTTGCAAGTTATCACTTCAAAATACTTGTGGAGAAACACTCATTTTTATGGAGAAATGATTTCACGTCACTTTAGGACGGCACTAAAATAAAAAAGAAAATATATCCAACTTTGGAAAATCGTACCCCACACCAGTTGGCTTCTTTCAATCACGGCGTCTCAACCTCTGCCTTCCCTGACGTAAAGTTCTTCAGCAGAAGCGCCCGTTTTCCCACTACCTTTCAAAAGAGCAATTCGCGCGACACTTGGACAGCGAACACCAGCGCTGAGACTGCGCGCTCGCGAAACTCGAACCTCAGTCTCTGCGCGTGCGCACTGCTTCCCGGGCCCCTTCCGCCAGCGCTTGGGAACTTCGGCCCCGGCGCTCAGTGGGCCGCAGGAGACTGCTGTTCTGTGTAGAGCGTGTTGTTTGTTGAGTCGGGTTTCCACGCCACCTGAGACGGTCAGCGGCGGTTGCCCACGGCTCAGCGCCTCCGCGGACTGCGGTCGGTCGTTGCCATGACGGCGACCGCTGGGGGCCCTGGTAAGCGCGGATCCGGCCTTTGTGGGTCCCTGAAGGCTCCACACGATTGGCTCACAGTCCTGCACTTTGGCCTCGCGCCTGTAGTTGGAGCGCTTTGAGGCTCCTCTGACAGCACCACTCCCTTTTCTTGATGGGGGTCCACTTTCTCAGTGCGCCCACAACCGACTGGCCTAGAACTTTGGTTCCTCCCATGGGCCTTAAGACAAAAGCCGACGTGTCGGCCATGAATAGCTAGAATATTGTACCCTTAAAAAAAGTGGGGGGGGATGCTGGGGCGCCTGGGTGGCTCAGGTCATGATCTCACGTTCGTGGGTTCGAGCCCCGCGTCAGACTCTGCTGACAGCTCAGAGCCTGGAGCCTGTCTTTGGATTCTGTCTTCCTCTTTTTCTGACCCTCCTCTGCTTACGCTCTCTTTATCTCTCAAAAATAAATAAAACATTTTTAAAAAATTTAAAAAAGGAATGCTTAGGGCAATTTTGGGTTCATAGGAAAACTGAGCTGGAAGACACAGAGATTCTCCACATACTCCCTATTGGGACACTGCATAGCTTCCCAATTATCATCATTTCCTGTTTTTGTGAGCCAACATTGATACCTCATAATTAACCAAAGTCCATAGTTTACCTTTGGGTTCATTGTTAGCGGTGTACATTCTTGGGGTGTAGACAAATGTATAATGCTTTGTATCACTCATTGTGGTATCATACAAAATAGTTCCCTACAAATCCTCTGAGCCCACTTATTCATACCCACCTTCAACAACCACTGATCTTTTTATTATCTCCATAGTTTTGTCTTTTCCAGAATGTCATATAGTTGGAATCATACAGTCTGTAGCCTTTGAAATCATACAGTAGGTCGTCGATGATAGATTGACTAAGTCAATACACTTAAGAGTATGCATTTGAAGTTCTTCATGACTTAGGAGCTCATTTTTTAAAAAAAGTTTTTATGTTTTACTTATTTCTGAGAGAGAGAGAGAGAGAAAGAGAGAGAGGCAGCGTGTGCAGGGGAGGGTCAGAGAGAAAGGAAGATAAAGAATCTGAAGCAGGCCCCAGGCTCTGAGCTAGCTGTCCAGCACAGAGGCCGACACGGGACTCGAACCCACGAACTGTGAGATCATGACCTGAGCCGAAGTCGGAGGCTTAACCGACTGAGCCACCCAGGTGCCCAAGAGCTCATTTCTTTTTAGCACTGAATAATATTCCTAGTCAGGTGTCTGCATGTATCAGAGCTTTTTAACTCCGTGAAAGACATCTTGGTTGATTACAATTTTTGGCAGTTATGATTAAACCCGCTGTAAACATCCATGTGCAGGTATTTGTATGGACTTAAATTTTTAACTTACATGGGTAGGAGTCAAGGAGCACAACTGCTGGACAGTATGATAAGAGTATGTTTATTTTTGTAATAAACTATCTTTTAAAGTGGCTCTACCGTTTTTGCATTCTCACCAATAGTGAATGAGAGTACCTGTTGCTCCACATTCTCACCAGTATTTGGTGTTGTCAGTGTTCCACATTTTGGCCATTCTAATAGGTTATGTAGTTGTACCTTATTGTTGTTTTGTGTTTCTTTTCTTTTTTTTTTTTTTCCCCAATGTTTATTTATTTTGAGAGACAGCATGAGTGGGGAAGGGCAGAGAAAGGGAGAGAGAGAATCCCAAGCAGGCAAGATGTCAGTGCCAAGCCCAATGTGGAGTCTGATCTCAAGAACCATGAGATCATGACCTGAGCCAAAATCAAGAGTCAGACATTTAATCAACTGAGGCACTCAGGTGCCCAAGAAGTTTTTTCATCTTAAAACCCAGTTTACTCATTATTTCTTTTATGGATGGTACCTTTGGTGTTGTATTTATAAAGTCATTGCTATACCTAAGGTGATCTAGATTTCCTTCTATATTTTCTTCTAAGAGTTTTATAGTTCTGTATTTAATTTTTGTGAAGGATACAAGGTCTTTTTCCAGATTCATGGTTTTCCATGTGGATTGTCAGTTGTTCCAGCATCATTGTTGAAAAGATTATCTTTACTGCATTGTATTGCCTTTGTTCCTTTGTTAAAGATCAGTTGACTCTATGGATGTTTACTTTAGGGCTCTCTGATCCATTTCATTGATCTCTTTGTCTGTTTTTTCACCCGTACCACCCTGTCTTGATTACTGTAGCTTTATAGTAAGTCTTGATGTTGGGTAGTGTCACCTCTTTGTTCTTCTTTTTTAGGTTGTGTTGGCTAGCCTTGTTTTTATGCCCTCCATATAAATTTTAGAATCAGTTTGTCAATATTTATAAAATAACTTTGTGGGATTTTGATTGGGATTGCTTGAATCTGTAGACCAAGTTGGAAGAACTGACATCTTGACTATATTGAGGTTTTCTATGCATGCGCGTGGAATATATCTAAGTAGTTCTTTGATTTCATTTATCAGAGTTTTGTAGTTTTTCTTTTATACACCTTGCACATATTTTGTTAGATTTGTATCTAAGTATTTTGGGGTTTTTGGATGCTAATGTGAATGGTGATGTGTTTTTCATTTGAAATTCCACTTGTTTTTATGCTGATAAGTAGGAAAGAAATTGACTTTTATATATTAACCTTGTATCTTTCAACCTTGCAGTAATAACTTATTAATTCTGGGAGTTTTTGTATTGATTCTTTCAGATTTTTTTGCATATACAGGCATGTCACTTGTGAACAAAGACTGTTTTATTTTTTCTTCCCCAAACTGTATACTTTTATTTCTTTCTGTTGTCTTAGTGCATTAGCTAGTACTTCTAGTATGATGTTGAAAAGGAGTGGTGAAGGGGTAGGAATACTGCGTTTTGAGGTGCTGGTTGAAAGTAACATTTATATCATCCATAATTTCAGTACATCAAATGCAGAGTAGTTTTGGTCAGTCTGATTCTCCTTGGAATTGTGTGAAAGAGAAATGCATACAAATGGGTGTGGTCAAGCATTATTCTAGCTTTTTGAATCCAGCCTTTGCAAGCTGGTGATTTGTGTGTCCCTGTTGTTTGACCCCAGAGTTAGAGGTGTTTTAAACCAGGCAGTTCTGCTCCAGAAGGTTGCAGTATCTTTTACATAAACATAAGTAGTCACATTAGACAGCTTTGGTGACATATTTTTTCAGCTTTAGTTTTTTCCTTATTGTAAGCATAATACATGCTCATTATAGAACATTTATAAAATATATCGAAGCAGGGGGAAAATCCACAAAATGCCAATAGAAACTTTTTGATATATTTTCTAATGTGAATGATAAAATAAGATGGAGTCACTTGTCGTGGTTCATTTATACAATGGAATACTACATGGCAATGAGAAAGAATGAAATCTGGCCATTTGTAGCAATGTGGATGGAACTTGAGGGTGTTATGCTGAGCAGCATAAGTCAGGCAGAGAAGGACAGATACCATATGTTTTCATGTATAGGTGGATTAGGAGAAACTTAACAGAGGACCATGGGGGAGGAGAAGGGGAAAAATAGTTGGGGAGAGGGTGGGAGGCAAACCATGAGATTCTCTTGAATGCTGAGAATAAACTGAGGGCTGATGTGGGTTGGGGAGAGGGGAAGGAAGGTGATGGGCATGGAGGAGGGCACTTGTTGGGGTGAGCACTGGGTGTTATATGGCAGCCAACTTGACAATAAACTATGAAATGAAAAAAAAAAAGAAAAAAAAAAAGATGGAGTCACTTGTGTCAAGGAGTTTTAAAATGAGCCAGAAGGTGATTAAGGGGGTGGGCCTTACGCACATTCTCTTCAGGTAGAACCGTGAACTTTGGAACTGGGCCAAACTGCAAATATTCCAAGGACTCTGCATGAACACATGCAACTTACTATGGTAATTGACTTTTTCTTAGTGATAGCCTTAGCAACCAATTATGTTTAGCTAGTTGTTGTTGTTGTTTGCCACCAACAGCAATCAAATTTTTTTGTAAAGAACATATAGAAACATTCTTTTTTGTCTTTAAAAACTCCTGACCTTGGTTCCTAGTGAGATACGATTTGGGTTGCTACCCAAACCTGTGCTCCCTGAATTGCAATTCTCAGATTGCAGATAAATGCTTTTATTTCATTTCTGCCTCTTCTCTTGGTTGACACTACAATCTTGACTTTTAAGAACACAGTATACATGTCACCATATGCATTATGTCTCTTTTTTGGTTTTCTTTCACTTTTTAAAAATGTACAAAGTAGTTTTTTTTTAGAACATTAATTTTTAGTGACTAGAATAAGAAAAATTTATTATCTTACAAGTCTGTGGGTCAGAAATCTGAAATAGTCCCAGTGATCTAAAATCAAAGTGGCAGCAAGCCTGCTTTCCTTCTGGGGGCTCTAGGAGAGAATCAGTGTTCTTGTCCTGCCATCCTCTAGAGACTGCATGAGTTCCTTGACTCACGATTTCTTCCTCCATGTTCAGAGCCAGCAATGGCTGGTCCAGTCTTTCTCACATGTTTCACTCTGACACTGACTCTCTTGCTTCCCTCTTTGACTTATAAGGATCTTGTGATTCAATGGGCCCATCTGGATAATCCAAGCTAATCTCCCCACCTCAAAGTCAGCTGATTAACAAATTTAATTCCGTTTGTCATCTTAATTCTCTTTGTAATATAACATATTCACAGTACACAGAGATTAGGATGTGGACATCTTTGCAGGGGGGTGGTCATAATTCTTCCTACCACAGTTCCCACATATTGTTCTTCACTGTGTTTTTCCCCCACTTAACATATCTTTGGGATTATATAAGTACATCTAGATTTGCCTTATTCTTTTTAATGGCTGCATAATGTTCCATTGCATGGATATACCATATTTATTTAATGAATCCACTGTTGATGGATATTTTAGATTATTTTCACTCTTGCTATTACAGTGTTATAGCAAATATCCTTGTACCAAATGTTTCACTTTCCATGTATATCTGCCTATGGGATAAGTTTATGAAAGTGGAATTTCTAGGTAGACGTATTTTTCTTTTTTTAAAAAATTCTTCTTTCTAAAAAATCTTTATTGAGATATAATTTCCAATCCATACAATTCACTTATTAAAGCATACAATTCAGTGGTTTTTAATATATCAGAGTTGTGTAACCATCACCACAGTCAATTTGTGGTGAGCTGAAATCATGAGTAGGACATTTAACTGACTGAGCCACCCAGGCACCCCTAACTCAAATATTTTTTAAATTGCTGTGTATTTTCTTCTGAGTCTGAAAAGTGTATGACTGTTGCCTATGCTAAATAGAGCCACATGTTTGGGGCCATAGTGGATGATCCAGCTAATTCTTACCTTTATTCCATAGCCTGATATATAGAGTGATTGCTAAGTTGCGTGCATTTTAGTTAGAAGTTCTCTTTATACGTCCCTCCATTCTCTAATCGAAATTTACTTTTTCTCAATGCCTTATTGGAAGTTTCTGCTAGTTGTTTTCAGGTTCTTAACTGTTGTTAGGCAAGGTTAAGAGACATAATTAACAGATGATATAATCTCATGCATAAGGAATTTGCAGCCAATTGATAGGCACTAAAATGTTTAAATTAATATACAAGAATTAGGTAGGTAACTGTTTTTCTCATTGTTATATTAGGATATGACACAGTATGGAGTAGATTTGGATTCAAGTACTATAGTCTTGGTTAACTCATATATTTTAATGCTTAATAGAAAATCTGGACGGCCAAAAAGTAGTTGATAGATATGGGAATTATGTATATTTGTACATGATAAACAAATCTGTAAATATCAGCTCAGGAATTTAGTCACTGACGTAAATGTTGTCCAGATTCATAATCTGAAGGTGAATATGCTTAAATGTATAGTTTATGATTCTAAATTATTAATATAAATATAGAATGGGGCCTCCGGCCAAGAAAACAATTAAGATATACAGAGTTTAAAAGGTTTTAGTATAGCTTTAAGAAAAAGTTTATATAGTTATTTTGAGAGGGAGAGAGAAAGAGAGACAGTGTGTGTGCATGCACAAGTAGGGGAGGAGCAGAGAGAGAGGCCGAGAATTCCAAGCAGGCTCTGTTCTATCACCACAGAGCCTAATGTGGGGGCTGAGTATCATATACCTTAAAATCATGACCTGAGCTGAAATCAAGAGTCAAATGCTTAACTGACCAAGCCACCCAGCCATCCCTAATATAGCTTTTAATATGACTTCACATACATTTTACCTGTTTATGGGGCCAGTATTGGAGAGAATATCATATGAAAATCTTGCTTTAAAATACCTGCTTCTACATTTCTTTTTCTTCCTGCATATTCCTCATGCTTCTGAGTTTCAGACTATTCTATATGTTTACTAATTATTACTATATCATATACACATGTTCTCAATTGCCATGTCATAATACTTGTTCTCAATTTTTAAAATTTTGTGTTATTGCCAGTTTAATTACCTTATTCTCCTCCAAAATATACTAAAAATGTTTACTCCACAAAAAATCATCCACTTTTAAAAATATAAATGTTGTTTTAGGATCTTGGAGTGAAAATATACTAGAATATTTTCTGAGAAATAACCAGATCACAACAGAAGATGGCGCTGAGATCTTTTGGTATCATGCTGCTAACCACAAGGCACAAGTGAATGAGGCACTGAAAAGTAAGTCAATATAGTTTCTTGTATTTACATTGGATAATAGATTAATTCAACTCTTTTTTTGATATCTGACATTATTTTCAGGTATCAAAGACTTAGAAGATCAAAGTGTAAACCCTAGGCTGACATAAACATTTTAATAAAATATTTCATTTTGTTAACAAAATGAACAAATTTCCATAGTGAATTTTCTTTTTTTCTAGAAGTAGTTTGCCTTTTCCGTATCTATTTGAAACATCGAATGTATTTACACTTGCTTATATACTGTAGTGACTGAAGTAAAATTTTTGTGGTCACTGTTGTATGTCTTACATATTTTTGTGTCTTTCATAGTGTATTAAGGAAAGGGTCAGTAAATATTTGTTGAATGGATGGATGAAGCCATTGTATCCTAATTTATAATTAATTGCCTTGGGCAGTACTTATGCTTAGGCTAGAAACCAAGACTTTGGTTTACTAACTCCATCTATAATTTTCTATACCTATACCGACATCTACATCTATATCTACCTTCATTATAGATGAACATGATAGCAGTTTTTTCAGCCTTTTCCTATGATGTGCCCCTGTTGGCTGCAGCAGCACAGGAGACTGAGAGCATATCACCAGAGAGGTCTGGGGCATAACAAAGTGACCCAGTACAACAAGGAAAATTCCTCAGTCCCAAGTTTTATTATAAAAATCTATGCATCTTTTGCATCCTATTCAATTATGTATCTGGATAATGTGTCTGAATGCATATTTCTTTTATTATAAAGATATTGCTTTAAATTGTTATTCTTTGCTCCTCAAAGGGAAGAACTTTGGTTTAATATTGAATCCTTGAACCTAGAACACGTAATAACCATACAGTGATTCTTTAATAGATGAATTTTAGCAAAAGCAATGCTTCAGGAAAAAGTTGATTAGTGGTTTCTAGGAGCTGGTTGCAGCAGAGAATAGGGAGTGAATGCTAATGGATACAGGGTTTCTTTCTGGGATAATGAAATTTTTCTGGAATTAGATAGTGGTAGTGGTTGTACAGCATTCTGAATATTCTAAAAATCACTGAATGGTATCCTTTAAAGTGTGAATTTTATGGTATGTGAATTATATATCAATTTTTTTAAGTGAAGAAAGGAAGAGATAAAACTATTTGCAGACAGTATGGTTGTATATATAGAAAATCAAAGTTTCTGCAGATAAATGATTGTTAAGTCATGAGTAAATTTAGAAAATCTCAGGATACAAAGTCAAAGCAGAAAATAAATTTTATTTCTATGTAACAACAACTAAAAATTTGGAAAAAATCTTTAAAATTTACAGTTCATAATATCCTATGTAGAAATCTTATACTAGAAATAATCTAATTAAATATGGATACTTTACTTTTAAGCTTGTTTTACAATTGCCAATGGAAAGTTATTTCCAATCGCTGGCAGTCCAATATTGATCTGGGAAGTTTTCATAGGCTACTTAGTCTTCAGAGAATGTCCTTTTAATGTTCCATTAGGCAAAACCAGAGAGCTAAGTTTAATAGCTTGGGAATGCTCTTCACAAATCCCTTTTTTAAACCATGGCTAGTTTTGCAATTTCTTTTTAGTCCAAAGTGAGGAGACAGGCTTCTGGAGACATTTAAAAAACCAAAGTACAGGAAGAACAATGTAAAAGTACCGCCTGGTATTGCACTGTCAGCACATCCTGATCACAGACTAGTCAGAATTGTTTACAGAAGTTATTACATGTAATGTAATGTTATGTTACAACATTTCAGCATGTAGATTTTAAACACATTCATTTTAAAAGATATACTGGTTTAAAAAAAAGGAAAACATTTAAGTCTTTATGAGAATAAAGGTGGTTTTTTTTCAAAGCCTTGAAAAAAGCCTTTGTAACATCTTTAGGAAACGTGTGACTATAATAAATATCTAACGTTCCTTTTTTTTTTAATGCTTTATTTCTGAGAGAGAGCGAGAGAGCAGGGGAGGGTCAAAGAGAGAGGGAGACACAGAATCTGAAGCAGGCTCCAGGCTCTGAGCTGTCAGCACCAAGCCTGACGCGGGGCTTGAACCCACGAACTGTGAGATCATGACCTGATCCGAAGTCGGACGCTTAACCGACTGAGCCACCCAGGCGCCCCAAATATCTAAAGTTTCTAATTTGATGAATGAGAAGATAAAAGTACTATTTTTATTCTCAGAAACTTCAACAAACACTTATTACTCCTTCTTTTGTATGCTCACTTTGCTATGTACTGAGAAGAAATTAAATATTATAACAACAGGGTAAGAGCTGTATGACCTAGGGAAAGGCATTTAACTCTTCACCACCTATTTGCTCATCTGTGAAACAAACGTGTAAAGGCCTAACACTCAGCGCCTGGCACTTAGTAGTTAGATAAGTAAATGTTAGTTTTTGTCCTCTTCTAAAGGCTCCTGGACATGACATTTTCTGCAGTCCTTATTTTATTACTATTAACTTAAGTTCTTTTATTTGGAAAGGTCCTGCTCACATGATAGAGGCCGATGTCCTTCTTCCAAGTGATGGATCAGAATATAGCCAACCAATCATGGCCCATCCTCCTGAAACAAATAGTGATAATACTTTACAGGAATGGCTGAATGAAGTTATAAAAAGCAATAAAGGCATCAAACTGGATTTCAAGAGGTATTTGTATACACATTTTCAGTTTTTCAGTTGTTATAGAATAACATGGAAAAAAAGGATTAATAGCATCATATATCTGTGCTTGACTAACTAACTTTATACTTTAAACTGAAAATAGAATTGCAAACTAATATATTTCAAGAATGGACCTAAAATTGTTTGCTAAAATTGTTTCTTGGGAACCCTTTGAAGATAAAATTAATTTTTACAAAGGAATTTATCGTAAGTTACCATTGTGATAATAGAATGATAAATTTAGAACCTAAGGTTTCTTTACCAATAATATTTTGGAAGTATTGATAATGAAGAGGACAATTGTCATTTCCTTTCCTGTAGCTGTTATGGGAAACTTTACTTTTGTGGTATTTTGGCAGGGTAAAAACTATAGGTAAAGCCAGGAATATATTGTGATACCACAAAAGCTCCCCATAAGCCCCATGAAGGCTACTGCTAATGAAATCTAGGATTTGTGGTAAATCTACCTTATCTCTGAACAATATTTTTAAATGGAATTTTCTCAAGAAATTAATAATGATTTGGAAGTCTTACTTACAGAATTATTAAGATGACTCATTTGTTGTAGGGCTAAATATCCCAGTAAACCTCATTATACTGTTGGTGAATGAAAGACCTATTTTAATATCTTAAAGTTTGTAGTGTGGTGAATGAACCAAAGTCTTTTTTATTGACAAAGAAACTTAGTCGCAGAGAAGTTAAATGATTGATCCAAAGACAGTAACTTAACTTGACAGCTGAGCAAGGATGAGATCCCAGGTTAGTGTTCTCTGTACTATGAAATAAAAATTTGATCTTTAATGTTTGGTGACTCAGAGTTTTAGCACGCCTTGCTGTTTCATTTGTATGTTTACTGTTGCCCATTGAATTGTTCTCTCTAATATATTCTTTGGCTTCTCACCAGTCAGATCCACTCATTCATTCCTAGCAACTATCTCAAAAGGGCTGAGGCACTATAAAAAATATTTTGCAAATTTTTTGGTCACAACATATTTGAAGGAATGGATTTAACTGTGGACACTATAGTGTGTCAGACACTGTTCTAAGAGCATTAAATGTGTTCATTCATTTAGTCCTTATAACAATCCTAGGAGGTAGCTTATTGCTATCATTCTCGTTTTCCAGTTGAGGGGAAAAAGGCAGAGAGGAGTAAGTAGCCTGCTTGTTGTCACATACTTGGTAGGAAAGCTGCCACCTTGGCTGGAGACTTCACACTCTGAACCCAAACTCTGTACTACCTCTTTGTAAAAGTAGCTGAATTTTACTAGTTCTTATTATATGCCTTTAAGTTATTGTTTTTGTTATATAAATAATAACTAAGTATTAAAATTTTATGTGAAGTTTTCTCCTAGAATGTAATTTTAAATGGTTTATTGTAATTTTAAGTATGATTTTTATTTTCTCATCCCCAATTTCTAAACAAATAGGAAAATAGGTATGATACTCAGAAGTTGAACTTACAAGTAACTTTTTAGGGGAAAAAAAAACCTATTCTATAAAAACAAAGTCTGTATTCTTCCTAGGAATTTAAATAAGTACCACCAAAGGGAAATTTTAGGTGGTATACTGATCAGGACCTCCCTCTTCAAGTGGTTTTCTTGGCCAACCTTTGTCAGTTTATTATGAGAAACTTAATACATGTAAGAATTGAGAATGTTAGTCACTGTTATTTGTAATTAGAATTACATGGTATTGTCAGCATTACCTTGATTTCAAAACCAGACAAAGACCCCACTAAAAAGTGGAACTACAGATCAATTTCCCTGTTGAACATGGATGCAAAAATTCTCAACAAGATACTAGAAGACAGAATCCAACAAACAATACATTAGAAGAATTATTCACCATGATCAAGTGGAATTTATTCCTGGGCTGCAGGGCTTGGTTCAATATCAGCAAATTAATCAATGTGATACATCACATTAATAAAAGAAAGGATAAGAACCACATGATCCTCTTAACAGATGCAGAAAAAGTGTTTGACAAAATACAGCATCCTTTCTTGATAACTCTCTAGAAAGTTGGGAGAAGCATACCTCAATATATGCTCCTTGAAGGAGCATACCTCAAGATCATAAAGTCTTTATATGAAAGACACTCAGTTAATATCATTCTCAATGGAGAGAAACTGAGAACTATCCCCCTAACATCAGGAATACGACACTCCTGTTATTCAACATAGTATTGGAAGTCCTAGCCTCAGCAAAAAGAAGTAAAACTAAATTGGCAAGGAAGAAGTCAAACTTCACTCTTTGCAAATGACATTATACTCTCACATGATACTCTACTCTACTTTTGGGAAAACCCAAAAGATTCCACCAAAAAACTTTCTAGAACTGATACATGAGTTCAGAAAAGTCATAGGATATAAAATCAACATACAGAAACCAGATGCATTTCTATACATTAATAATGAAGCATCAGAAAGAGAAATCAAGGAATCTATCTTACTTACAATTGCATTGAAAACCATACAATACCTAGGAATAAACCTAACCAAAGATGTAAAAGATCTGTATGTTGAAAACTATAGGAAGCTTATGAAAGAATTGAAGAAGACACCAAAAAAAAATGGAAAAACATTCCATGCTCATGGATTGGAAGAAAAATACTGTTAAAATGTCGATACTGCCCCAAGCAATCTACATTTTCAATACAATCCCTATCAAAATAACACCAGCATTCTTCACAGAGCTAGAACAAACAATTCTAAAATTTGTATGGAGCCAGAAAAGACCTTGAATAGCCAAAGTAATGTTGAAAAAGAAAACCAAGGGTATCCAGGTGACTCAGTCTGTTATTTGTCCAATTTTGGCTCAGGTCATGATCTTGAGGTTCATGGGTTCAAGCCTCACTCGATTCGGGTCTGTCCTGACAGCTCAGAGCCTGCTTTAGATTCTGTGTCTCCCTCTCTCTTTGCCCCTCCCTCACTTGTTCTCTTTCTCTCAAAAATAAATAAACATTAAAAAAGAAAGAGAAAAAAGAAAACCGAAGCTGGAGGCATCACAATTTCAGACTTCAAGCCATATTACAAAGCTGTAATTATAAAGACAGTATGGTAGTGGCACAAACACAGACACTCTGATCAGTGGAACAGAATAGAGAACCCAGGAATGTACCCACAAACGTATGGCCAGCTCATCTTTGACAAAGCAGGAAAGAATATCCAATGGGAAAAAGAGAGTTTCTTTAGCAAGTAGTGTTAGGAAAACTGGAGAGCAACATGCAGAAGAGTGAACCTGGACCACTTTCTTACACCATACACAAAAAGAAACTCAAAGTGGATGAAAGACCTAAATGTAAGAAGGTAAACTATCAAAATCCTAGAGGAGAGAATGGTCAACAACCTTTTTGATCTTGGCCACAGCAATTTCTTACTAGACACATCCCCTGAGGCAAAGGAAACAAAAGCAAAAATGAAGTATTAGGACCTCATCAAGATAAAAAGCTTCTGCACAGTGAAGGAAACAATCAACAAAACTAAAATGCAGTCAACAGAATGGGAGACATTTGCAAATGACATATCAGATAAAGAGTTAGTATCCAAAATCTCTAAAGAACTTAACAAACTCAACCCCCAAAAAACAAGAATTTGGTGAAAAAATAGGCAATAGACATGAAGAGACATTTTTCTGAAGAAGATATCCAGATGGTTAACAGACACATGAAAAGATGCTCAACATCATTCATCATCAGGGAAATACAAATCAAAACTACAATGAGATACCACCTCACACCTGTTAGAATGTGTAAAATTAACAACTCAGGAAACAACAGATGTTGCAAGGATACAGAGAAAGGGGAACACTTTTGCACTGCTGGTGCAAATGCAAACTGGTGCAGCTACTGTGGAAAACAGTATCGAGGTTCCTCAAAACATTGAAAACAGAGCTACCCTATGACCTAGTTATTGCACTACTAGGTATTCATCCAAAGGATACATAACTGCTGATTCGAAGGGGCACATGCACCTCAATGTTTATAGCAGCATTATCAACGTTAGCCAAATTATGGAAAGAGCCCAAATGTACATCAACTGATGAGTGGATAAAGAAGATCTGGTACATATATATATATATGTATATATATATATGTATATATATATATAGTGGAATATTACTTGGCACTTAAAAAGAATGAAATCTTGCCATTTGCAACAATGTGAATGGAACTAGAGTGTATTATGCTAAATGAAATAAGTCAGTCATTGAAAGACATATCTATCATATGATTTCACTTATCTGTGGAATTTAAGAAACAAACCATCAACATAGAGAAAGGGAAGGAAAAATAAGATAAAACAGAGAGGTAGGCAAATCATAAGAGATTCTTAAATACAGAGAACAAACTGAGGCTTGCTGGAGGGGTGTTGGGTGAGGGTAGGCTAAATGGGTGATGTGCATTAAGGAGGACACTTGTTGGGATGAGCACTGGATATTATATGTAAATGATGAATCACTAAATTCTAGTGCTAAAACCCTTATTACACTGTATGTTAACTAACTTGGATTTAAATAAAATTAAAAAACAAACATACAAAAAATGAATTTACTATATGAATATACTTTAGAGATATTACTTAGAATATGAATTCATTAAAAATTGAATTTGAGTATACTAAAAAATTACATGGTATTAATAGATTAATTGGGAGGGATGTATCATTTTGTAATATTTAGAAATTTGCTACATGTTCCAGTCCAGGAAAATGGTAAGTTATTCTTTCAAGTGTACATTATATATTGCTGTTGGGTCAAGTTCATCCTCAGTCTTTTTTTTCTTTTTTTCCCAAAAATGTTATGGCTTTTCTTTGATATTTAGTCTTCTAGAATAATTTTATCTTATATTTTATTTTATATTTATTTTACGCTATTTTAGAGAGAGAGAGAGAGGGTATGAGTGAGCGAGAGGGGCAGAGAGAGAGAGAGAATCTTAAACGGGCTCTATGTGGAGCCTGCTACGGGGTTCTATCCCGCAGTCCTGGC